GTAGGTGAGAAATCTCATATCCCAAAATTAATGCATGTTTAATATGGAGAGAGAGAGAAAATTATGGGCAGGTGGGAAATCTCATATCCCTAAATTAATGCATGTTTAATATAGAGAGAGATAAAATTATGAGCACTCACATCGTAGATATGAAAAAAGATTACATAAAAATCTCAATCTGATAAAAGTTTATATTGAACGTATATATGTAAATATTTATTATAGGGTGTCTATATATGTAAATTTCCCTGTCTTTTTTATGCTGGAGATGGGCTCGCCTTTTATTTCGGTTTGGACTTCTCGTGGACCAAAAATAAAATCATCATCATTATTCTCAAAAATAGAACTTTTCTGCTATTCTAATATTTCGATTAAAGTAATTTCAAGAAAAATGTTTTGTTCATGTTGTCTTCGTTGTAATTAGGTCTTGCATTACGTACGTCTTGTGAACCCAAAACAACACACAAACAATTCGTAAAAAATTTTCGTTGTATTTCTAGACTAAATTTCAGTCTTTGTACATGCACAAATGTGTATTAATTTAAATTGAAGATTATTTCCACTGATTATCACAAGTGCTGACAAATTTTCATTATATTTATGTACTAAATTTTAGTCCACAGTGTGTGCACAACGTACTTAGCTAGGTAAACAAGGGGTCCTATTGTAAATATTGTAAATTACTTTATTATCCACAAAATACATCAGCTAATTATAACGCATACTTTCGGATGTGTGTATTTAGTGTTTAATAAAATGACGCTTAATACTTTTTAAGAATGAATGTTATAGAATAGCATATTATGACAAAAGATCTTCAAACAATGTCAACTGAACATGCATAATATATGTGAGCAATAACAACAAACGGAAAAATATAACCTACAATAACTGATGACAAATTTTCAATGTACTTTTAGACCGAATTTGAGTCTGTCGTGCACGCACGACGCAACCCATCTAGTACTAACATATATGACTATGATGAGAAAAAGAAAACATTTAGTTTGGATTCATGGGTTTAAATTTAATTTCAATCTGATGATGTGATTGGCCCAACGGATCGAAGCTTAAATTTTGATTACAAATCTGGACCTCGTCTTTTCTTTTGCTTGAGGGGTCTCCTTTGGGTTTCATTCAGCCTACTCCAGGGATTAGACAAGGAGACCCCCTATCCCCTTATTTATTTTGGTATCTGAAGCTTTCTCTTGCTTGATTAATCAGGCTTCTAAGGCTTCTAATTCTGGTCAATTTCATGGTATTAAGATTAGGCCTCATGCTCCTAGCATCACTCATCTTCTCTTTGTTGATGATTCTATGTTATTCTATAAAGCTGATATTCAACATGCCAATCTACTTGTTTCTATTCTAGAGAGGTATGGGCATGACTCTGGTCAGTTAGTAAATTTTGATAAATCCTCCATCCTTTTTTCTAAGAACATGCTGGATACTCAATGTGAGGCTATTTGTGATAGGCTTTCTGGGATCTCAAGAGTCAATTCTTCTAAGTACCTAGGTTACCCTTAGGGATTGGTAAAAATAAGAGGGACACCTTCAAATTCTTAAGTTAGTGTGTGCAGAAGAGAGTGAAAAACT